TAATTATGTTGTAGTCTTCTTTATGTCAAGCCTTTGAAATCCAGTATGTATTTTGTACCTATAGCACATCCCAGTTTGAATAGCCATATTTCAAGTGTCTAATGGCTGTTGTATTGGACAGTACAATTCTAGTTGGTGCTGACTGTCAGGCAGTAGATTATAATTACTAAATTTCTGAAGAGAGATCAGTCTAGCATCATCTGCATGGAGGAGGGAACCTGATGTAGGATGGAATTTATAAGAAAAAGAATGCTAGAGGAGAAGCAAACCCACAACAGAATGGGGTAATAACTCATTTTGTGAAGGTTTGTATGGCCTCAGAAAAGAGGTGAATTAATAGTAGTGATTCAATTAATGTTTTCTCATATTGCCCTCATTTTCTCTATTTCCAAGTACCTTGTTCATGTATTTGTTTATTGTCCATCTCTTACTATAATGTAAGTCTGTTTTTTTATGGTAATATGCCCAGAATAATACTTCTCACACATTAAGACTCAATAAATCCCTGTAGAAAAAAGCCTATTTATTTTTATTAAGGTCTCATTGATAAACAATCTTATGAAGGTTTCTCATGAGCAACATTGTGGTTACTACATTCACCCAAATTATCAAGTCACTGTCTGTCAGTGTAGTAAGATGCTATAGTCACGGCTTGTCTTCTCTGTGCTATATTGCCTTCTCCGTGACCCCCCTACATTATGTGTGCTAATCATAATACCCCTTAGTCCCCTTCTCCTTCCCTGCTTGCCTTACTCGTCCCCTTTCCCTTTAATAACTTCTAGTCCCTTCTTTGAGTCTGTGAGTCTGCTGCTGCTTTGTTCCTTCATTTTTTGCTTTGTTGTTATACTCCACAAATGAATGAATCATTTGGTACTTGTCTTTCTCCACCTGGTTTATTTCACTGAGCATAATATCCTCTAGCTCCATCCATGTTGTTGAAAATGGCAGGATTTGTTTTCTTCTTATGGCTGAATAATATTCCATTGTGCATATGTACCACATCTTCTTTATCCATTCATCTACTGATAGACATTTAGATTGCTTCAGTGTCTTGGCTATTATAAATAGTGCTGTGATAAACATAGAGGTGCATATATCTTTTTGAATCTGGGATCTTGTTTTCTTTCAGTAAATTCCAAGCTAATTTTTATTGTAAAGAGAGAATGTACAATATGATTATTACATGGAGGAAAAATAAACTAATGATGGACTAGTAGAGAATTTGATTCCTAATGAATGGCATTGCTAATAAGGGTCCAGAAGTTCAAAAGAGAAATCCACAGGGTTTGAAGTAGCCTAGAAAAACAGAGTTATAACATGGGCTACTTCTTAAATAATGGCTAGCCTTTGGATATTTGGAAAAGAAGGGGGATACTTTTGAAGTAGGGTGAATGGCTTATGCAAAGGTGGAGATGCATGTGAACAGTTTAGTTGTGATAGATATTGGGAAAATGTAAGCTATCAGGTTGGAAGAGTAGCTCCTGAGGTTTTTGAGAAAGCATGCTAAGCGCAATTTTAAGAATGGAATATAAAATGGATTGAAGAGGGGAGAGCTGGTAGGCAGTTATTGCAACTGTCCAGAAGGTGATGAAGGTTGCACTATGGTGATGCCTCTGGGAAGAGACAGGAGGAGAAGACAAAACATATTCAAATAAAAGCCTCAGTGAAATTTTTGTTTTGGACTGAATATGAATTGGATGGTCAAATGTGTTGCCAAGGACAACTCCGAGGTTCTGACCTTCGTTGACTGGGTGATGGTGCCATAGTCTGAAAGTTCCAAATGGAAACTTCTTTTCAGGGGTGGGAGCAAAGGTGAAAATGGGTTGAAGTGAAAGTGAGGGAAGATATCTAAGTGGAAACTTCCAGTAAGCCTTCAGATGACTCAGGGATTCAGAGAATGTAGTCTCTTCCCAAATCTTCTGTCCTTTTTCCTATATAGAAAGTGTTTACTCTGTGTGTTTCCCGGTGGCTCTGTTGATCACATTCTTATGAGTGGTTTGAAGCTCCTTTGACTTCAAACTTGCATTTGTTTTGGGCATGGCTGGAGCAGAGTGCTAACGAGCCCAAGATCATGGGTTTGATCGCCAGAAGGGGCAGTTAGTTTCACGGAGAGGAAAACTGTGTTCCCTGGTTCACAGACTTCTAATCCTGTCTATTTGTCTCTAAACGATGTAGCACTATTCTCAAGAGGCCTCAGCGAGAAAGTATGAGTAGTTGTGGGCAATTCATTAGAACTACTAGAAGAATGGCACTGCATGGGTTTATTTGGATTGCTCCTTCAAGAAGCTTTGTCTACCTCACTCCATTAGCTCATGAGACAAGAGATTACATTTTCAGACACAACATCATGACCGGATGATGATGTGAAACTGTCATGTTCATGCCTGCCTACATCTGTTCCCACATTCACTTCTCAGAGAAAAGACAGGGTGATGGTCCAGGAGCATGTGGTTCTTTGGTGCAAGGGTCTCCTTGAAAGTGTTGAAATATTATCAGTTTGATTTTGAGAACTGGCTTACTAATGTTGCGCAAATACACCCTGGAGAGCATGACTATGCCCAAAAACTCACTAAGCAAACCTTTCAGTGATAAATTTTCCTTATCTTATCAAGTTGTTTTAGCTTGCTGCATATTCTTACTGGGAAATACAAGTCTACACTCAAAATTCTTGTGAAATAGTCATACAAGGATACAGCATAGAATGTGCTGTGTTTAAAAGAGTAACGGTGTCCATAGAACAGCCATGGACGAACCCACAAAAGGCACAATTCAAAAATCAATCCTAGACCTTCTCAAATTGCTTTCCCAGTTAACTGATACACCCCTGGGTTCTGCAGGAGCCACCCCAAAGAAGATTTGGAATGACATTATCCACATATTCAAAGATTCAAAATAAATTCTTACAGCTTAAGAAGGACTTGAAAATAGGTTCACTTTTCTTTCAGGGACTGTGTTTGCCACACCAGAGATATTTCTATTATTTGACATTATGGAAAACTTAGAAGGCTGAGGAATAAGAGACCAGACCATCAAATGTCATTTAATAGATTGCTAAGAATAACAGTAACGTCTTTGAAGAATAATGTTTGGAAAAAATATGACTAAAAGTAATAGGCAGAATAAAGTTATATGCTGGTGTTTTGGGTCATGCATAACTATAAACACTTGACTTACTTGCACGATTTCCTTGAATGGATTATATTGACAAGAGTAATTATTTTGGTATATATATAAAGAGAGCTTGATATTATATAAGTAGTTAAGAATCATCACATGGCAAGTCTGTAGCTCTGCCAGCTGGGTCGAGCTGGGGTGGAGGAAGAGAAAGGACCATTGATACAGCAAGAAAAGCTTATACCAGGGAGTTTGCATTTGCCTTTTTGTATTGCAAGGATTTTGAGGTTCAAGCAGTACTCTTCACCTGATTTTGCTAAGTTAGAATCAAATTAGGGAAAAAGGTGGTCACTTGGTCAGTGTCAGAAAAGGTGAGACCATGAATCAGCATGTACACAGAAAAGGGTAGGACATACCCAATGGAGAGAATTTTATCTAGGATATCATAGATCCTTAATATTCTCATTCCTAGTAATAACAATGAAGTGGTGATAATAGAAGTAATTGTGCAATGTGCCAGTGTTTTCATCTGGCCATAGAGAAATTGAATGGACAAAAAGAACAAATTAAGACAATGTGATGAGTTTCCATTAAGCTTAATTTGTTAAATCTAAGAAACAACCTTTTATTCTGAGATTATCTCCATGTTTTTAAATGAATTTCCTTGGGATGACATAATGGTAGTGATTGGTGTTTATACAAAAATGTCCTTATTTTAGCCAAATAAAGATTTCGCCACCTTATGTCGATTTCTACGTTTAATTTTGGAAAAATATCACTATTTTGGATAACTGTAGAAGAATTTGAATGGTAATGCTTAATTCTCAAATACCAATATGATGCAGATGATATTATTATTACTATTATTGCTATTTTGCAAAGGAGGAAACTGAGCCTCACAGAAGTTGTTTTAATTTGTGCAAAGCACTTAGCTAGAAGTGTCAGAGCCACAGCACAAATCCACAGCCACCTGATTTCAGTGTTCATGCTTCTTACCACTCTGTTGCTCCTGTGGGTATTAGAGTCCAATGAGCAGAAACTATTCTAGGCATTTTAAACAGGTATTTAATGCAGGTGATGGAAAGATAAGTAGCCAAATAAGAGGGGGAGTCAACCCAGAAATTAACTATATCAAGAAGTCACTACCATACCTCGGATTAGAGAGATGCAGAGAAGAGGTGGTGTTTTCATCTGAGAAAAACCTCCCAGATGCGTCCATGTTCCCTGGAGGGGCAGGATGCCGTTCTAGGTGGGGAGTAGCAACCATGGAGGGAAGAACTGCAATTATTGCTGAGGATGCTACTTTAAAGAGAGAAAAGGGAGAAATACCCTGATTTCTTCCTTCCTTTTGACCTCCAGTCTTTTGTTAGTGTATCCTATTAGCAAAACCTACCCAGAAACCTGAGAACATGGGGACTTGAAAATGTAATTTCTTGTGAAATAGAGCCGATGAAGGGAACATTGGGAAATGGACATAAGAGCAAACAGGTAAACAATCAATACATAGCACAATATGTACTTTACTAGCATAAGTATGTATTTAATTATTTCACTGTGCCTTGTACTGTGTCACTGAGGTCTAGAGATACCAGAAGAGACTTCTCAATATTCATAGTCTAAGAGAATTTATTTGGCTGAAGGAAGGAAATGGGAATATTTTCATTTCCAAGTGACCGTGAGAGCAATGAGAGACGAAATAAGGAGAGAATTTTGGTCTAGAGGTAACTTTACCTTTGAGTATTTTAGGTTCTAAAAGGGTGGCTGAATTAGAAATTCCGGGCCAAATAAGGGGGGAGCACAAAATCCTGTGTGTTATTTCGGCTTCTCTTACTGTTGTTGTCTCCCCTTTCTTTAAAGGAAAAATAATGCTCTCTTTCATCTTTTAGAGATATGGGATTGGGAAGGAGAGTTCCACGTTTGCAGGGTAGAATGATGGATTCAGCCCGAATGGAGACAATGATCGTCGGCAACCTCCACACCTCCATCAAATTTCCTTTTGGGGAGAGAGAGACTTCCCCCACCATTCCCTCTGGAGGAGGCTGGGGCCTAAGTAGGAGACTCAGGGGTAAGTGAATGAAGTAGAGTTAGGAAATTATAGGACAGTAACTCCATCTTTAGCTTTCGTGGTAGCAACCACTGAAAAGAGAAATCTTCCTTCTAGGCCACATTTCCTATCTGAAACCCAAGGTCACATTTCACGTCTGGCATAGTAATGCTGCAATTGGCTCAAATCCAATTTACATTGGCTTCTTTGTTTAGTGGTTGCTTTGTTCTTTTTGAAATCATCTCATCCCATCACAGGGTAAAGAAAGAACATTTAGAAGCCAGATGTTGTATTAACCATAACCATTATCTTTTATTGGATCCCAAAGAGATTTAATCTCTATCCATAAACAGGTGAGGGAGACAATAAGTTTTCATCTCAGCTTTACACTTCAAGATGTCTCATCGAGAAGAGGGTACAGGCTCTGCCATCCATCTGGCCCTGTGACTCAGGGAGAATTATAATTGGTGCATAGAGACCAGACAGTGGTTCAGCCCTATCAGACTCAAAGCTCCCCTTTTTATAACACATATTTTATGATATATCCTTTAATGTCCCCAAGTGAAATTCATAGATAATACCAATGTATACAATTTCAACAAAAATCAAAATGATGTCTAAACTGTAATGTAAAGGAACACTAAAATGAAAACAGTTTATAATAAAATAACATGCATTACAAGATAGAAATGCTCAGGCACGACTCTATTTAACAATATAATGAAGTGGTTAGATGTTTATACGTATGTGGTGAACCATGAGTGTGGCAGCTGCAAGCAGACTGATGCAGGTAGAGAGATTAAAACAGCACAATTAGCATTGCCATCGATGATGTTTTTCTAAAACAGGGTACAACATGCTGAAGTCCAAATGACGTGAAGTATCACCTCCCCTTGATTTACTTGGTAATTGCATTCCTGGAAAATTTATCTTATATTAAAATCATGCAAAAATACTTTGAGTTTATAAATAAATTTGAGATATAGTCTAGGCTTTGGTAATTATATCAGGTGATTAGGTTTCTCATCTACATGAAATGTCTGGAGCCCTAATTGCTGCCCAACAGACGCCAATACATCCCTCCTTAATCGTCATGAGTGACAACGCCAGGTGTCCCTGCATGTTTCCAGAATGCCACTAGGGCTGGCACTGTACCACCAGGAATCCCTAGAGTGGGATGGCTAAGGCCTTTCTAAAGGGCAGGGATATAGGTAGTTGGATCTCATGAAACTCACTCCACATTCTTCTCTGTAGAGGCCCTGATTCAACCATGTTCCTTGAGACCATGCTGACTTAGATAAGCTGTCAAGAGAACAGTAGGTGTATTTTTGCTAGGGCTCTTGGCAAGATTCTTTATTATCAGCTTCTAGTTTTACTTATGTGGACATGGTTTATTCCTGGTCTGTGTAAAGGCCCAGACATACCCTTCCTCACTGAGGTATCCTAAAATTGGTTTGCCACTGAGTGTTACATACACAATGTGAAGGGCTATCAAGGACCAACATTGCAGTGTGAACAAATAGAGGAATGGTAAGGTGGAAAGCCCACTAGATACATTAGTTATTGAGCAGAAATGCTGATTTATCTTAATCATATCACACTCAAAAATAGCTTAGATGCAATTAACTATATTTCTGCCTGTAGCATGTAAAACCAAATTTGAACAAGAATGTATCAGTCAGATATGGAACTGTCCTTGTGTCTGGATTGGGGCATGAATGGTGAAATGGCAAAAACACAGATTTTGATGTCGTCAGACTCATATTCAAGCACACCCTGCCTCTCTGTGACCTTCAGTAAGTTAATAATGTCTTCAAGCCTCCATTTCCTCATGTGTAAAATAGGGCTCAATTTTTATAAGGACTAATAAGGTAATATAGGTAAAAACCTTGAAGGAAGATAGAATTACTCTTAGGCACAGAACTGCTCTTTTGTTTAGGAAAAAATACCTTTTGGGCATATTCAGTAATAAAGGGTAGGCAGACGCTGTGACAGAGGAAGATTGCTCTGCATAAGAACGTCAATAGAATTGTTTTGCAGGTTCTTCCTCGGGGAGAGGATGAAGGGTTGGGTAGAAAGTAACTCCCGGGAGAGTTTGCAGAAGAGAGGAGGGGATTACTAAAATGATAGAAGGCACATGAACAGCCATAAATTCCTTAATGGATTTTACTAACAATGGTCTTTGACACTGGCAGCTGTTTTCCGTCTTGTGCTTCGTTGTCTCGCAGTTCATCATCCACAAAACCTTTAGTAAAACGCTGTACTCAGGTTAGCCTAGTGTGGATGAAGGGAGGGTACGTGGTGGAGAGAAGCAATACAGTTAGAAGCTCAGAGCCACAGAAGGCAAGATATGCAAGCAGGACATGGATGCCTGGAGAATGTTAGTGCTAGGGACAGCCATGGGACTGGGGTGTGTGACAGTAATGGTAGCTGCCTGTGGGGAAATAATAAAGGAAACTTCAGTATTATTATTCATTTCTTAAAATCAAGTACGAAGCTTATGAGCCTCTTTTATGTTTAGGTAACTTTCCAAATAGTTCATAGAAGGTTTAAGAAGAGGAAAATGAAACGAGGTGAGGTGTTTTTAAACAAGAGGGAGACTAATCTTTCCACCTTGTTCTTTTGTGAGTTTGCTCTTCACAGTATCTATCCAGTAAAGAATTAGAAAGATATATTAAAACAAAAACTCAATACTGAGAGATCACGTTCTTACAAAATCTCTCAATGTAAGGGTGGATTAAATATCACTTGTATATTTTGTGTCCTATATGATAGACAGTCTTTTCCCAATGCTTTTTGTTGTGGATTAGAACTCACTGTTGAGTTACAGTGAGGGGGTCAGTTACTTAAATCTGCTTTATTGTTACTGCATATACTGTACAATTCATACATCTCTTACATAGTTTGTACAAATTCTTTGAAACATTTATCTTTAAATATAATCTATAATTCTATAAGATATCTCCATTCTGATATATGATTAGTTTTATTTTTCTGGGTAAGTTTTCATGTTTATTTGTTGCAATGATGCTAATTAATAAAAGTGCAATGTAACAATAGGATTTTTAAGGAATGACACATTATACCAACATTGTCCAAAAGAACTAATTAATCAAACATTAATTTTAATGTAATTTCTAAAGAAAGATATATCATTTTATTATGACACTCTAGCCATACATTTTCAAAATATGCTTACTAAACAGTAAATGTAAGATAATGATTCAGTTAGTTACATTTTTAGGAGTCATCAGGATTTGACATTTCTCTGCCATAAATGAATTGAATAATAATTTCAAATACAATCAGAGTTAATTTAATGAAAGAATTTTTTTGAATGAAGACCAAATAATAAATAATCATTATTTTCTGGTTTCAAATAGCAGGGAAATTAATTCAGTGTCTGTAAGTTTACTTATTACACTTAGCCTATAACTCTAGTTCATTAACTCTCTTAGAAAAAGTGATCTGACATGGTATTTGGGGCCTTTATGTAAACTGAATACAAGCTGCATGATTGAAAGTTTTGATATTTTGAATAGACATTTTAATATTGCAGAGACACAGATAAGAGATATAAGTAGATGGCTTGAGGTTTCAGAGTCCCTCCTGAAGTATGTTTAGTAGCAGGCACAAGATAAATATCCAAACAAAATCAGATTAAGGGATTAACATAATTTTGCTGTGGGTGGGTGAGTAGGGCCAGTTGGTGGCTTTGTAAGGGATTTTTGAATTGTTTTAATTTTTCTGGTTTTCACATCAGTGCATTTTGGACAAAAGAAAATGAGTAATGTTTACTTTTAGGATACAGTAGCCTGGGCAATTAGAAGAAAGGAGATTCTAAGGATTGCAAAAGATCATTTTGAAGATGACAGGCGATTCAGCAGGGGTCAAATAGGAAAAACTCCATCTCCATTTCATCTCTTATTTCAATTGGGCTGTAACACTTGGACTTTCGTGTTCTCCTTTTTTAAATAAATTTTTTTTCCTTGGAAGATCTTATCAATGACAACCAAAGAATAGCGGAAGACAGGGACCACGTGTCAGATCAGTGTGTGATCATAAATTAAGAGGGAACATGTGAAATATATGTTTTTAAAGAGATCCATTTAGCTCTAGAATTTCAGCTTGGTTAACCCTCTATAAAATTTTGAAGCACATGGTAAATGAATAGAGATAGTTGGAGGAATAAAGACAGTTTCAAAAATTCCCTGGGCCTCTGTCTTACCTATGTGAGGTTTCCTAAAAAAGTATTGTTCCAGATAGGACTTGGTAATTTCAATCAGTATCTTCATCCTATATCATATGTACTTAAAGACAGTCTTCTCATTTCTATTTTTTAAAAATATAAACCACACAAAAAAGATATCTATGTATCCATTTCTAATACCTAACAGGAAAGTCTTTTAGAATATTAAAATAGCGATAAGCAAATATATACTATAAGATTAAACACTAGCATTGAAAACAAACCAACAAAAAAACCCAAAAACATAGAATCAACAAGATTTTCCTCTTGCTTCTGCCCCCTCAGATTCTGGACTTTATGATCATTGAAGAAGAGGGGCATAAAGAATCAAAATTCTTCTATTTAAAAATTTTAAAACAGTGATGCTACAATGATGCATAAATCAGATTTATCTTTTGAAAACACTGATGGGAAAGCCCAGGTGATGAGTGGAAATACTCTTTTTTTTATGAAGAGAGCCTAACAGGATCTGTCTCTAATAAATTAGTAAATCCTTTAAGATTAAAAATAGCAAAAACATTTTAAATAGTCTGATTATAGCTTCAACATGTCAAACATACATTTCTATCTAGCCTATAGTTTCAAAGAGTCTATGTAGGCTTATCATCCTTCATTCCAATGTAAAAAAAGATGAAAGAACCAAGTCATTTTTGAACATTAAGATATTCATAAAGACTATATAAAGTAAAAAAACAAAAAAACAAAAACAAAAACAAAAAAGTCTTCACAGATTGTTAGCCATCTCTTTTAACAATTTCTAATAAATTCTTCTCTTTCCTTATCAGTAGATAACCCCCATCTCATAAGGAAATACTTTCTAACACTTCCTAATGAGATCAGTGATTGCTTTTTATGAGAGCTACTGCTCTTTGAGATGTTTAGATGAAGGGAGAATATCTTCTATAAACCAATAAACGCCAAAGAATTACTCAAGGAGGATGTGGCAGAGGCTATTTTTTGTTGGTGAATCTATGTATTTTTTCTGTTTTTATTGTCTCCACTTGCTGAATATCTGGGTTTTTAAGCAGAGAGTACAAAAATCAGTAACTTAGTCATCTTTTTAGTTCTGCCACTTGCCTCTAAGGTCTTTTCTCTCCCCCTTTATATATATTCCATGCTCTTGGTCAAGGTGTTCAGATTGGATAATATATTGCTCATTTTTGCTGAGCTTGAGAGCCAACAAAAATAATCTTCTAAATTGAAGAAAATTTCCATTTCCTCTTCTACACCCCCAAACTCACAATTTGGTGAACAGTACTCTACTTGTGAATAATAAAAACTTGAAAGGTGGTGGTAACTAGACCTAATGCTATTTTATTAAGCCATCTATCTATAGATTTGTTGTTTTCATACTTTAAAAAAATATGTCTATGCCTTCTTTTTTTTGTTTTTTTTTTTTTTAGTCAAGTACTTTCTTAAAGAAACAATAGCACCACATTGGCATAGCTGGCCAAACAATAAATGGGAAAGCAAAATGTGCTACATCTTCCGTTTAAGCAGTCTCCCAAGTGCTTAAACTGGTAACAGAAACCCTGGAGCCACAGTGCATGCGATGGTTTCATCTACACAAACACAGACATTCCAAGGAGGGGAAGGATTTTCAAGGGAGGCCAGGCCATTTTTTTTTCTTTTTAATAAGATTTTTCAAGGAAGCTGTTTCTTCTCCATATTCCACTGGACTCAGGATGAGTGTGTGTGTGTGTGTGTGTGTATGTAGGCCAGGTGTGGAAGAGTTTTTCCTTATCTCTAGAAGAGTGGATTCCAATGGAAACATGCATTAACTTTTCTGTGGAACCTTCTCACCTTAGAATAGTATCTATCTGGGGAAGTGGGAACAGAAATTTGACATAGGCAGGCAGTGTTGTCAATTAAATAGTAAATAAGCCTGTAAGTTGAAAGCTCATTCTTACCAGTACTTATAGTTTTCTTATAAACATCCTGAAGTTGACTCATTTTAAAATTCTACAGCAAAGCTGATGAAATTTTGAGTTGTGAAATTTTAGGTACTTCCTTCTATTGATCCTGGGTTATTCTGCTGTAATATATAGCGATTGGCTGATTTTTATAGTTTACATCAATTTGTCTTCTAGTTTTAATTCATTTGAAAATAAGATAGCAGGTTCATATAATTGGTTAATTTTCAATTAGTTGGTTTATGATACAGTTGGAGAAGACTATGTGTTAGAAAAAGTTAGGAAAGATAATACGGCTTTGCATATTTAAGCTTTCCTTACTGGGGCATATTTTGGCTGTGAATAGAATTATTAAGTGAATCAAATAGGTCATAGACATTGTTAGAATTTCCATATCCAACCAGGTCGGAAATCCATAGGTCTGTAGAAGATTGCATGTAAAGTGCTACTGGGAGACAGTGATTTTAAAAGGTCTAGGAACAAGAAAAATCAGAAGTGCCATTTCAGGAAAAGGGGTCCAGCATCTCATTCCACAGAACCTATATTTCTGAAAAACAGATGAAGGGCAAAAATGACTTATATCTGTGCCTAGTGATCGGAGCATTGATCAGCATGTCAGAGGTGCTCAGTTCAATAATACTGTGGACAGAGGGTTAAAATACTTGTTGTCTTAGCAGGGGCACCCACTAAATAGGCTTTCTTTTTGCATATGTTGCAAGGTTCAGGAAGTCTTTTTTTTTTCTTCCTTGCATCCAAATCTTGAGGTGAACCAGTGGGATGAAAACTTAAGATGCTTATTTTTGTTTTCCATATATACTTTCCAAGAATAAAAGGGATATAATTTGCATGAAATAATCAGGCCTGGTTGCTTTTCATCAAAAGCTTCTAAGACAGATAGAAAGATCTGAATGATGGACGAATTCATTGTTCTAACAAGAAAATCTTGATATAGAGACAAGAAATATTTTCTAGGCCACTGTGGGCATATCCTTATCATTTCATTTTCTTGATATTGATTTTCAGTTGAAAGGGTAAGACACATTCACAGAGAGCTAGGAGGACTCTTCTAAGAAGAAATAAGGGAATTCTAGTTGTGAAGGAAAATTTTGCATCTCAACTAGTAACCTTAGTCAAGTATATTTTAACAAAAAAATTTAAATATATATGTATATTTATATATAGCCAAAGATAAGAGCAAAATTCATTTAAAAAGTAACTAATTTCTTTATTAGATATTACTTCAATATTTAAACTCTTGGACCATTTTTTAGATTGCCTGAAGAGAAGGAAAAACTTGTGTTTTCCAAAATAAATAAAGTATCATTTATATTAAAAGAAGTATTCCTAGATTTCTAGTAACTGCCTGGAAGAGTCAGTGAATGCTAACAAATGGAGTAAGCACCTTTTCCTGGCAGGACTCTTTTTCTGTTTTTCTCCTTTTCTTTTTTCCTTTCTCTCTTCTCATACACATTCATAAATCCAAATGTAGAGTTCAAAATCAAATTGTAAATTTAATGTTTTGAATTTATTTTGAAAAGTGTTTTAAACAAGACTGAGCTGTTCACTTTTAACAACTAGGTAGTTGTATAGCTTCATTGATAAGAATTGGCTGGTCAAGAGCATTTGGCTAATCAACTTTCCAGCAATGCTGTGAATGGGTTGTTCATAGAATTCCTTGCATCCCAGCAACTCAAGGGCTCTGATCTTTTGCCCTCATAGCAACCCAGGATAAAAATCTGGAGTTTTATCTTTTTAATCCTTATACCACCCCTGTGAGGTAGGTAGATGGCGTATTGCCCCCATTTTGCAGATGAGGAAACTGAGGCACAGAGAGGTGAAGTGACTTGCCCAAGGTCACACAGTGGTGAGTCCATGGCAGAGTCGGCAGATGTTTGTTTCTTTAGTGAGAAAAAGAAATCAGGACTGTTAAGTTCCTAGCCTTCTGCTTTTTCCACTCCTCTCTGGACTCGCCAGTCAAATTTGTGTCAGTGAACTTTGTGTCGTAAGTTTCTCTTGGAAGGCATAACTGGGGAACCCTTGCCTTCTTTCCCAAATTGATGGATTTTTAGTTTCCTTCCCCTCTGTATCATCTTTGGCTCCAGGTTTCCTCTTTTGCTTTCACCTTTCACCGTTTTGGCCAGACTCTTTCATATAACAAACTACAAAATAGCACCATTGTACTAAAAAACAGTTTTACATACTGTTTGATACATCCTGTATTACTGATATGCTAAATTTACATAGTGCTCTATATGGAAAAAATTAAAAGAGAAGTTACTAATCAGGTTGCACACAAACTCATTTGAAGGAACCATTGATAGTTTGAGACTTTCTATGCTTAAAACACAGCTACAAATGATTGGCCTTGAGGTTGCAACTACTTGCATTTTTTTTTTTTTAGCAAGATGTGGAAAAATAAAGCTTTGTGTCTACTAAAATAAATGCATCCAACTTATATTTGGTACAAATGCCACAGATGGAATCTTGTGGGTTAAAAATTGATGTGCTACTTAACTGCTTGCTGCTGCTATTGAGGAGGCCAAACTGGCAAATATAAAGGTGACGAAAAGGAGCTGGGCTAGACAAGATGATCAGACACTGTAAAACAAACAGCCTGTGTTGCGTAGAAAGAAGTGCAAATAAAAAAAATTAATAAACCACTTAGACAAGGCTGCTGAATGAATGGCTCCAGCAGCCAAGATTCAGAGACAAATTTAGTGCAACTGGATCTATACAACACCCATGCATTTGTGGCTCTTGAGAGGCAGGGACTAAGATATATATATATATATATATATATATGTATATTTATATATATATATATTCTCTATAGAACATTATTGATTAAGGATCAACAGCAATCTACCAACTCCAGGACCATTTCTGCAAGGTGCAAAGCTTTTAACAATCACTCCTACAATGTTGGAATGTTTACTTGAGTATTTCATTGGGGGGAAATGCCCATCTTTCGAAATGTTAACAAACTTATTTTTTTGGTAGGTCTTCTGGTGTTGAACAGGTAACTTGTGCACAGCCAAGGATCCTGCCAGTGGCATGTCATTCTTCACTCCTCAAGGAGGTCTTCCTACATTCTGTAGTTCTTGTTTCCTGTGCTTCCTCTACTTGTGTTCTTCAAATGTACTTCCTAAAAATAAAGGAGAAAAAGTAACATTAGTGTGATGAAGTTTTATGCACCCTACCCACCTATTTCTAATACTGACTCTCAACCATTCATATCTTATGCTTTATCTGTCAGTCTAATAGAGACCTTGGGCCTGGTTTTACTGAGAAAGACATAATACAAGTTCACTCAGGCTGCTTCTATGCATCCCTGGTGGCCTGGGGACCACAGATTGCTTTATAACCACACGGAAATGTTTCTATGCATCTGCTGCTATCACAGATTCATTGATAGGAAGAAGATCCTGAGAAATCCAGTCTTCTGGGCTGTGCATCTTTTCCTAGTAAAAGGATCACATTCTGGGATCATCCTCTGTTGTATTGCATTTTTTTAAGTTTTGTAAAAAGAGATTTCTTTTTCTTTTGGAGAGAGGGAGCATTTTAGAAGTAGAAAATTGCAAAGTTTTAAAACTGATTCAGAATATGTGATATCACAGACATACTGAGATGGGCACAAATCCTAGCTAGCTCTTTGTTTTCCAGCTATGTGAACTTGTGCAAGTGACAATGTCTTGTTCCTCAGTTTCATCCATAAACTTGGATAAGTGTAGTTTTTACCTCATAGGATTAAGGATTAAATAATTTTTACATAAAAGCACTTACAATAGGTCTGGCACCTGGTAAGCACTATACAGGTATTAGCTATTATTATTATTATTATTATTATTATTTCATTTTTATTGCAAAGTAACTATCCCTGGACTAAAAATCCTCAGCTCCTTGCCTTGGTGCTATCATTCTCTCATCAACAAGCAATGCTGTTATCCATGGAATATTGAATTTTCCTTAGAATATGATAGTTGGGGCTTGTCTGTTCACTGTTATAACCTAGTATCTAGAGCAGTGCCCAGGATAATGTAGGTGCTCAATAAATAGCTGTAGAATGACTTAAATGGATGAGTGAATGAATACACAGACCCTCTGATAATGTGCAGAATTAAGTCATTATACTTTCCCTATAATTGTGTTACCGTGGAGTATATTTAAACAGCAAAGTTTATTTGGACAAATAAGAACATGAGAAATGAAATCCAGGAGGGAATGGCATTTGCGTGCATGAATCTAAGGTTCTGCTTCTTTTGGTTTCACCTTATAAAGATCCTTATGTAATGGATAATTAATTATTGGTACAGAATAAAGTTCAAGGATCCACAGTGGTCTCTTTTCCTTAGAACATGTTTCCAACAAGACCAAAAACAAGAATTCTCACTATGGTGGCTAGAATCTCCAATCAACACTCACCCAATTATTGTTAGAAGCTTGGAGATCATTGTAAGGGACCTTGGATATCACTTGGACCTGAGACCTGAAGAGGGTGAGAACCTGGGCAGAATAAACTACCAGTTCCTAGAGATAATGCCTATTGGCTTAGGCCTTCGGGGATTTGGTAATTTTTTTTACATGTGCTTTTCAGCTCTACCTGGATCATTAGAGTTGGTCACCAAGGCCTTCATAAAGGTAGTTAGCAAGTCGATGGCCAACGGACGGAATAGAAGGAAGATGGCATCATTGTGTAAAAATGTTTATTAAGATATCTAGCTCAGTGGCCACTGAAAAAAAGCTCATGGGGAGAAATTGGGCATTTGTATAGGAAATCTTGAAATGCCATCTACTTAAAATCCTGGCACTTTTCTCCCAAATATCATACTACTTTTACCATGTCCACTTAACATACATTTGTTGCTCTACAAAGCATCTGCTATTAAGCTACCAATAAATCTGTGTTCCTAATCTTACATCTTACTCTGCTTTCTTAAGGGAGTCCTCCAGAAAAATGAAAGAAAGACATATGGCTGCAGAGTGGGATCACTGTTGTCTCAAACTCATTGCAATATTTCTGCTCATTATTCAGTGGACTCTGCTGCTGAAGGTATGTGGCTCATCAAAACCCTCAAGTAGCTATTTAGGCACCTCTCTGCCAAAGTACTAACCGAATCAACTAATAGGTTTAAAAATATGCTAATTTGAGTTTTACCATTTTTTTCTGCTTAAGACACATACCAGCTTAGAAAAAGATTTTTAAGAATCTGCATAATGCCCAAACTAGGAAAATGCTCAAAAATGAAATGGTAAATGGAAAGAAAGCCACATGAGGTGCTTAATCTGTAGCTTTCCTCCCCAGCCAAATTAACCCCAAATTTCCAGAAAAGAAAAATCAGGTGTGTTGTATACTTCACTCTTCAAGTTCATGAGAGCTGTAGCAGAAAGGATTGAGGTTAGATTGGCCAGCCATACAGATCTTATCCTTTTCCCCAGCAGAGATTCTTTTTATTTTCTCTCACAGCAGAGGTGTAAAGTGTAAAGTTTGAGTAGAGGAATCCTCTGGCCTGTTTCTTCTGGGTCTGTGTCAGCATCACAGTGAAGCCCCCGGCAGAAACTCACTTGAGTAGAGCCTTAATGCTGCTCCAAGTAGCATGGTTCCCAGGCACACACGCATACGGTGCAGGCCATTCAAAACCAGCTGGGATGTCGTCTGGTTTGCGTTTGGCTCTCTTCCCAGACTCTCACATGTGACTTCTTTGTTGCAGACAATGACAGTGACAAAACAAAAGCACTCAGGGATTTGGTCTCAGTTGCATCTGTTGCTTTGCTCATTGTCTTAATTTAATTACCCTGGCCACCCTTGACAATGGGCGGCAAGCAGAGGCATGTTAGAAGCAGCCAGAGCTGGCACCCACCTTCAATGCTTCTTGAAGTGTTATGAAACTGTCCCACATTCAGCCAAGCAAAAACTTTTCACTTCAACAGCTTGTCCAAAACAAACAAACCAGCTGAAACTGTTTCTAGTAGGCAACTAGACAGATTTTTGAAAGGAAAACAGTAGTGAGTAAATACTGTTTCCTATTGACACCAGGGAAGGTAAGATTATTAAAAAACAAAAACAAAAGCAAATGTTGGTCCTCTAGCCCACCGGGGATGGTTGAAGAAAAGTGTCCCTGTGAAGGAAGGGTTAATCAACTCATAAGGGATTAAGTTTGAGAAGGGCTTAATTTGCAATATACATTATTATACATTGTGTATCATACACAGATATTTGGCCCTGAAGAGGTAATTCACATTCTCCCATTATCTCTTGGCTCTTATCCTAGCTCTAGCTTTTCAAAGGAAAGCTAGCCACAAACTTTTTGATTAAAAAGATCTCTGAGAACTCATAACAATGGCAATAAAAAAAATCCTGATGAACCTTTTCAGGCACTTTACAGTTTACATAGTAATCTCAAGTGAGGTAATGTTATTTGCATCAGTGTCATTTATAATCTAAGACTCACTAAGATTTAGTGGCTTGAGGTCACATAGACAAATTGATAGACCTAGAACTAACAATAAAACAAATTATTACTTTAATAAAATCACATTCCATCACTTGGACATTTATTATGTGCTGGACACTGTATTATGTATGTTAATTATACATATTTTTTTATTTAATTCTCATAGTTCTCTTGGGAGTGGATACTAATATCCTGCCCAATTTACCTTTAAAGGTAAATTCCCGATGCTTAGGAAAGCTAAACAACTTGCCTGATTTCTTACAGTGAAAACATGACTATGGTTGGGATTTGTACCAGTTCCTTCTTATTCTGGAGCTTATCAATTAGTCACTCTGCTATATTACCTCCCTACTTGGTAAAACAGCATCTTTTGCTTCAAGATCCAAATCTCCTGCTAATGACAAGAATTGATAATGTTATGGTGGGAGGTGCTGGCTCAGAGGATAAGGCAAGACTCTAAAGTGGGCAGGTGGGTGCCTTCACTTACGGAAGTCTGAGCTGGGCCCCTTTTGTGTGGTTATTGATAGAGATCTAGTAGCACAGTATTCAGTTAGCAGAAGTTAACCCTGCGGATATTATAAATCCTTTTTTTTCTCCCTATCTTTATGAGATTTTGCCTGAGAGACAGAATCTAAAATAAAGATGATAATAGGCTCTTTAAATTTCAGAGAGGAAGCAGTGATGTTTTCCTCTATGTTTCCATCTCCACCCACTCCAAACAAGTTAAGTATTGTATGACATAAAGTCTAAGAAAAGCCTGGCACCCTATAAAAAATACTGGGAAAATACTGTCCAGCATGGAATTAGCAGCTTATTATATAACATGAAGTCCTAACTGAACACTGACCTTCTCTTAAAAAGGGCAGAATGGGGGGAAGGAAAGAGGAGCAGATGATTGGAGAGATGGGCCAGAGATCAGCTCTTTACCTGTTGGGAAGGATGTCATCTAGCTGTCTTACTGTTTCGCCTGGAGAAGTGTGAAATTGTGGAGGATGATTTAAATGTCTCAGTAACAACTTTGATACAGGGAATCACAAGTTCAAATTCCAGAAGTGTTAGGTCAGCCTTTCCTCTCTGGGACTCAAGCACAGTGAGTGTCATGCAATCTACCCAGAGCTTTGGGATGTGACCTTTAAAACCAAAGGATAAGGTGCACATTTTGAGAGACTTGGGCTCCTGGTGGAGTAAGGTTGCCTTTTTAACAAAGTGAGAGGTATATAGACTAAACACAGTGTTGGTCTGCCCAGCCTCTTATATTTTTCTGTAAATGACCTCATGCTACCTTTTCTGTGGTTATGGTGAAAATGAACTTTTTTCAATATGACCCTCTTCTCTGGCCATAGTGAACTGTCGCAGAGCAGGCCCCTCCCCCAACCCAAGACCAAGTGTGATAGGGATACCAAGGCAGACCTATCCCTGGGAAACACAAGAGTCCTTTATTGGAGACTTTGGCTCAAGGACTTCTCAGTGGCTTTGCTGAACTTTCCTTGGACCGTATAGTGTCCAGGATGCCTCCACCCAACCTTTTCTCCCCATCTCCTTTCCCCGGGGTCAGACTTGCATTGTGTTACGATGGCTTGCCCAGACTTCCTGCATCCTCTCCTATTCCCCTTTCATGAGGCATTTTCCCTAATAAAATGCTTCCTCATTTAACTCAGTCTCATCTCTGTTTCCCCGATGACCTGGGCTTGCCCACCTGGCTTGAATCCCAGCTCCCCACACAGGAACTGTGTGACCTTTGACAATTACTATGCTGTTCTCTCCATCTCAGTTTCCACTTCTGTAAGATGAAAGGGTAGGCTACGAGCACCCACCTTATGATTGCATGTGACCACCCTTTCATGTTTACCTGGCATAGCTGTGGGCAAGAAAGTCTACTTTTTCACGGGGCCTTGGTTGAGGGTCATTTTGTGAACCCATTAGTCACATCACTCTGTTTGGGCTTCTGTGCTGGGTGAGTCCACGCTGCGTCTGCCTTTGTTAGAACATTGATGTGCCGTAGAGTAAATTATATACCTGTTCACTTCCACACTAAAAACTAATCTCCTTGAGGGCAGGTAGCATGTGCCTTCATCACTGTATCCTCCCCAGACACATGGTGCTTTGAGCCAGGGAGCAAACTGGGAATTGTTAAACTGATTTAAACTTTCTAAAGGAGTCGTGGAAAAGGGGTGGTAGAGTTTGGCTCAGTAGCAAGCCTTGTATTGCTGCCTGCTGTGCTCTGTACAAGGACAAATAGCACAAAGTCCCCTCCGTCTCAGGACTTACAACTGCCAGGTTGTGGTATAATAAATACTAGCAAAGAAATGCAGAAAAGAGAGCACAGTTCATGGTTAACATACTGGGGTCCATTTTGAGTTTGGATTCTGGTCTGGCCACTTCTCAGAACAAGACCTTGGCAAGATATTTAGTTTTACTCAATCCAAGTTTTCTCATCTATACAATGGGGATAATTACAGTATTTAAAGGCTAGGCTAATAGTGAAGATTAAATGAGGTGATTAACTCTAGCATTTATACAGAGTATGTGTCTAATAAATAACAGCTATTATTATTGCTTAATTATTTATTTTTTTGTAGTTACTGTTATCAAAGCACATCCCATCCTTGGGTGCTGCCTTTTCTCTAGCTTGAGAAAGACTAACTTCCTGCTGGGTGCCCAGAGCTCCCCTGAGGGCTGCGACAGCACATGTATAGCTCTTTCTTCTACTGACTTACACACCCCTAGGATTTAGGGAACTTGAATTTGTCGCATATTTATTCACAGATTATCCTGACTTAGCAAGTTTCTTACTCTGCAAAGGATACAATACATCTGGACTCTTTTTCAAATATTTCTGTCTGTGATGTAAGAAATCACTACCAAAGTGGTTTGAAAGTCTGGAAAAAAAGAAAAAGAAAAGGAAAAAAAAAATTCTGAAGGGTGTTTTCCCTCGCTGGCAAGAGGTATTTATTCTACCTTTAACAGTCTTTAAGGATGTAGTAAAATATTTCAGTGTTCAGGGTTGCTTAGACTGTTGATTTTATGGCAGTTTGTTTAGTTAGCTGTTTGTGTTTGTGTTACATTTTTAAATACAAAAAAAAATGTGTAAGCACACTATCAATCCCAGAAGGAGTTGATTTTGGAATTGCTGAAAGGTTCAAATGTTGTGGTATTTAAAATAGTGAAACACCAGATTCTAGCAATTGCACTGATAAGTGCTAAAGATTCAGCACATTTTTTACCTAAAAACTGTATTTGATAATTTTTTTTCTCTTAAGCCTCCAAAATGCCATTGTTCTATCTGATGTACAACTTATACGGGAATACTTCAACTAGTGAATGCAGTAATTTATGTTACAGTGTTTTTGGGAGTGTGGGCCCAGGGTTTTCACCTTTTAGTGTCATTTTAAAGCAGTAGTGATGAGTTTACAGGATTACTTGGAAAGGGTCTTGCACTCCTTTGTGTGTGTGGCAAACCTGGGCAGAACATTCAAATGCTGTGTTCTAAATTTTCCTCCTCACTGAATTGAGAGAAATTTTGGAAGTGTGGAAGGCTCTTCTGAACTTTTAGGATGAACAGAATAACACTATGACAAGTTAAAGTTTTTTGCATCTGTTTGAGGTTGATGGGAGCCTTCAGCATTTGAAAGTAAACATGCCTGCTGCCAGCCAGTGCTTTTCCAAGATAGAAAGTGGTGCAAGAACAATGCAGACATGTCTATAGTTTTAAAAAATCAAGACTCGTTGCATTAGGCTGAAAGTACTTCTATGTTCATTCTAGTGTTCTTTTGAAGAAGGAAACAAATGTCATTTGCAGAGAGACAAACCAGAGCATCCAATGGTGGCCTAAGTCAACCAATACCGACAAAGTAATAATAATAAAGCTGTGTATTCATTGATTCATTTATACATCTCATGTTTCCTAGTCCTGCAAAGCCTCGTGAACTATCCAAGCATGTCACATGCATACCATGACATGAATATCAGATGTTCCCAAGTCTACAACTAACTGATGAGGAATCTGTACCTAACCCTCAACCTGCCATGGTCTTGCTCCTAATCATTTGGAATTTTTGTCTTGCCATAATTGTTATCTGCATCTGTGAAAATGGCACATCATATTTTCAGAGGGCAGGCTGCTTGGTCTTCGATTATGTGACCTCTTAATGTTGGCCAGACCAAAAGCCCCATGTGAATATTCATATGTTTGACACAGAGTTTTGTAAGAACGTTTGGCATGTGAATGACACCTGGGCCATTTGGCCAGTTTGGGCTTGAGGTAAAATATCTTGGTCTTCCATTGAGAACTTTGGAGTGATTTTACCACAGAAGAGTTGCCACCATGCCTGGCTTTTCTTACGTGTCTTGCTCTTTACATTCCCACCTTTCTATAAAAATTCTGACCCTGCCAGTTAAAGGAGCCAAGGAGGATAGTATAAACCACTGCTTCCTCCTTTCCCGAGCAGCAGTGACTTACACCTGCTCAAATAAATATATGTTTCTTTTTTCGATGCAGTGGGAGCAAAAGCTTATGCGAGAGTGAATAGAGGAAGTTAGAGATTTATTGTTATGGAAGGGAACAGTGGTGGAAAAGACACTTGGTTTTTTTTGCCAGTGATCCGCATCTCCAACGGAAGTAGGGGCAGGACATGCTGGAAGGACGGCTGTCTAGATGCACTGACCACTGCTTGTGCTGGGTCAGGAGTTAGACCTGAAAGTTTCTGAAATTGCAGATTGGTTCTACGTGATAGTTACTGGTTTCTGACCTGGAGAGCCACTCTCTGTAGATCAGATTGGAAGTGGCTAAAGTCCCCGGATTCTTAGAAGATACAATAGAAAACAAAACAAAACAACAAAACTTCTTTCTGCTCCTTCAATAACATCCCCTTTATTTCCTGAATAATTCATTCAGGACTGGAACCAGACCTTCGAGAAGACAAAGGAATGCAGTTTCTCCTGAATGATGATTAATTTACACAAGAATTTACCTTCAGTGAAAGAAAAGCCAGGAAACTGTATTTACCTAAAAGTTTGGAAAATGATTCACCCCAATTCCCTAGGGGGTTACAATGATGCTAGAACACAAAACTATACAAACACATGCACACATACACACATGTGCACACTCATACACACACAAGGAAGAGAAAGTAATGCCCTTTTTCCAAAAAATATTTGCTGTAATTAATTGTAGATTGCAAATTATTACCAATGATACTTGGAATTAAAATTAGTTAGATACACCTTTAGCATTCTTTTCTATCAAATCTTCACTTTTTCAAAAGGGTTAGTTTCCTGACCAATGGAACCATTTTAGTTAATAAAATAAAGATGGGAATTTTCCAGAATGTTTTCTAGCTCTTGTTACTTATCTAGCAATAGCCCATTAGAGCTGTAATTGTGTTCCTTGTATGGTGAGAACTTTCTTAGCTGTTCTCCAGAAGGTTTAGACATGGACTCATAGACCTGTTGCCCCATATCTCTCCTAATTTCCCTGCTCTTAATTTCCATTTCTCTCTGCTTGAGTGTAATGTAAGTCTATATTTCTAAATCATATCTTAAGGTTGCTGGATAAAAGTAAGGTAGCGAAAAAGGCTTTAAAGGAGTCCCATTAAAGATGAACCCCAAATATGTGGGCATCAGGAAAAGGTGCTCAGATTTCAACTAGGCTTTTGAGGATGCAGAAGCTGATTTTGACCTTGTAAATCTGGAAGTTTAGTGGCCACTGAAGAATTTTGATTACCTCATCTGCTCCTTCCTTAGTGGACTTGTCTAGCTGAGGTCAATAAATACCATCACTGATTTTCAAAGAGAATCAGTAGTTGGGCTTTTGATCACTGAGATGAGCATACAGCCTGAGGAATTCTACAGTGGATATTCCAAACCTCATAAAAGAACCTTCTGCTTCATCTAAAATGATTTATCTTTTCATTGCTACCAAAGGCTTTCACTTAAACTCAGACTATCAACTTTGCCCTTGGATTAAAATTAGCTCCCTGTTATCTAGTAAATATTGCCAAAAGCTCTAGTCCCTTCAGATACACAAGCAAAAAGAATAAACCTCATTTTCCCTCATGGATGCTAACATGCTAACAGACTTGAGAAACTGCAAAATGTATTACTTAAAGAGAACATTGTTTCCTGTTGGTGCTTGATGGGAGGGAGGTGGGCAGGCATGGAGAGGAGCCATGGAGAGGGTCTCTTTAGGAGCGATTTTTTTCCCCTCCTTTTCCACCATTGCATCCTAACAGAACACACATTAGAAGCTGTATGAGGTTTTGTTTGTTTTCAAGAGATATTTGAAAGAAGATCAAATGCTTGTGAAAGGCACTGGATCGGCAGCCCTAGAAACTGAAATGTCCCGGAAGCTGTGTGAGCCCGGAAACATCCCACATTTCTATTTGTTTTGGCAATTTTACTTAAAACTAGTAAGAGCTGGAATTCATGCTACAATTAAATTTTCCTCAGGCACCATGAAATAAAACACGTATTGCATTTGATTTTAACTGGTTGAGAAAAATGGTGGTTTTCAGAAAGTTCATTCTATGACCTTGAAATAGAAATTAACAATTCCTCATGTGGGAGAGCAGAGCTTCCATTTAAGTTGGAATTATTCATAGAATTGGGGTTCTCTGTGTTGAAAGGGGTCTCAGGTCATTGAGTTCTGTTCTCCTATCATGTGTTTGAAACTCTACGAGCACATTGCCAAAAAGTGTTGGCACACTTGGGCTTGAAGTCTTTAGTAATAGGAGATTTGCTTCCACTTGAGATCTATTTTTTTCAGATGGCTCTAATTTTTAGAAGGAGATAAAATAATATTAACTTAAACTATCGTAGTGATTATGGTGTGCCAGACACTATTATTAAGCACTATAATATATATTTGTGCATCCACATGCTCACATAGACATTTATATGTATTATCTCAATAAATCCTCACAACTGTATGAGGTAGATTCAGTTATTATCCCTGTTTGACAGATAAGGAAGCTGAGGCACATGTAAATTACATGGTTTTCCCAAGGCCACACAGCCAGTAAGTGAGAGCCAGGATCTGAACCCAGGCAGGGCGAGGGACTTTAGGATCTGTACTCTTAGCCACTACATTTTATTGCCTCTCCAATCTTTATGACTCTCCTTTATGCTAATATAGAGGTTTGCACATTGCAGGTACTGAATATTTTTCAGTAATTTTATTTCAGGGTCATGATTCCTTACATATTTCCATTAGTTTCGTACACAACCGTCAGTTTGCCCTGAGGGAAACAGATGAAACACTATAATTCTGAATGATGATTAATACTCTGCCTACTTCAACAAAGCATTAAGGGGACTAATATGTACGTAACATTCACTATAGAGTTCTCAGTCAGTTGCTACCTTTAGAAGATTTCAGTTTAGGCTGGAGAAGAAAATTTCAAACATGCAAGATTCACATAAGCATGATTGCTTTGCCTTCCCTGTTTTATGCTACAGTTGCCTCACTATCTTAGGCAAGACGAGGAATCATTTTATCTCAGTAGTGCTACTTACTTTTATGGTCTTTACCACTATTCAGCTGCTCATATCATTCATTTGTTTATCCACCCATCCATTCATCCATCCATCTAGCATTATATACCATGTATCACTAGGTGCTGAGTATTAATACTAGAAAGAAGGAAATGGAAAGACAATGATCGGTCCCCCTGTTTACTCAGTTCATACCATTCAGAAATCGCATATAGGCATTCAAGATGATTGCTTTAGAGTTGATAAAAGCCATTCCATAAAGAAATGTGTTTTAATCCATAGTCTGGGAATTAAGCATTCTTCAGCTAGAGAGTTCTATTGCTTTTTTTTTCTTTTAAAGTCTATGCCTTATTTCTTTTGAATGAAATTTGTCACTCAGTAATTATAGTTTATCCAAACCCTTGAGT